AATCAACTCAAAGTGGATCAAGGACCTAGGATTTAGACCAGATAATACAGGACTGTGCCTAATAGAGGAAAAAGTAGGTCCAAATCTTCAGTCGAATTAGGCCCCAAGATCTTTAACAAGACTCCTAAACCACAAGAAATAAAATCAAGAATTAGTAAATGGGATAGATTCAAACTAAAAAGCTTCTTCTCAGCAAAAGAAATAATCAATGAGGTGAAGAGACAGCCTACATTTTGGAAGTAAATTTTTGCTATGCACACATCAGATAGAACATTAATCTCCAGGAGAACTCAAAAAACTCAACACCAAATAAACAAACAACCCAATCAATAAATGGGCTAAGGAGCTAAAGAGACACTTCACAGAAGAAGAAAACATTCAATCAACAAATATATTTAAAAAGTCCAACATCTCTAGTAATTAGAGAAATGCAAATAAAAACTACTCTAAGATTTTATCTCACAGCAGTCAGAATGGCAGTTTTCAATAATACAAACAACAAAAAGTGTTGGTGAGGATGTGGGGGAAAGGCACACTTATTCATTGCTGGTGGAACTGCAAATTGGTGCAACCACTCTGGAAAGCAGAATGGAGATTCCTTAGAAAACTTGGGATGGAATCACCATTTGACCCAGCTATCCAACTCCTTGGTCTATACCCAAAGGACTTAAAATCAGCATACTGTAGTAACACAGCCACCACAATGTTTATAGGAGCTCAGTTCACAATAGCTAAACCGTGGAAGCAAACTTGATGCTCTTCAGTAGATGAATGGATAGGTAAACTTTGGTATATATACACTATGTAATATTACTCAGCATCAAAAGAGAATAAAATCATGGCACTTGCCATGGATTATAAATGGATGGAATTGGAGAATATCATGCTAAGTAAGCCAATTCCAAAACCCAAAGGCTCAATGTTCTCTCTGATAAGTGGATGGTGGGTGATCCACAATGGAGGAGGGCATGGAAAAAATGGAGGAACTTTGATTGGGCAAAAGGGAGGGAAGGGAGCAGGTAAATATGGGGGCAGGAAAGATGGTGGAATTAATGGGACATTATTATCCTAGGTTCATTTATGACTGCACATATGGTCCGATGCTACATCATGTACAACCAGAGAAATGAAAAATCGTGGTCCATTTGTGTATTATGAATCAAAATGCATTCTGCCATCATGTATAACTAATTACAATAAATAAATTAATTAATTTTAAAAAAGAATTATTTGCTCCACATGATTTTGCTACAGAAAAACCTGTGGATTATTTACAGTAATGCACTCTGAAGAATGTTATCATCTTTTCTCCATTACTAATAAGCAGCTTTAAGCTAAAAGGCTGAAAAAAGTGAGAAATAACTTACTAAAATCTTCAAACTTCATTTAATATCTGGATATCAGCAGATTTAACACTACTAAACTAAGCAGAAAACATTTATGACACAAAGTTAGAGAATAGTTTCTTTGATAGGGACCAAAAAGAATGAATCGTAAAATAAAAATATTAATAATTTATACTTTATCAAAAGCTAAAAGCCTTCTTGTAATACAAAAAAAACACACAATAAAGAAAACTAAGAGCCACAAATTGGAAGAAAATATTTGTAAATATTTATTTAACAAAAGGATTGTATCCAGAAGATGTAAAGAATACTTCACTCAAAAATATGGGGGAAAAAACAACAATTTGTTAAGTGGTGCTTCACAAAAGATGATATATGAATGGGTGAAAAGCATATAAAAATATTTTAAGACAATTGGTCACTAACAAATGTAGATTAAAGTCACCATTACCCTCTTAATGTTATGGCTAAACTTAAGGCTGAAATTATCAAGTATTAACAAAGTTGTGGAGCTGCTGGAATTTTCATATATTACTAAGAGAAAGGTAAATAATATAGACATTTTGTAAGGAAACCTGGCAGTATCTAACATATACACTTATGTCCTTTTTAGATATACATGACAGTAGAGGATATTTTGACATACAGGGAGTATAACTTATTAGGATTCCAGTGTTGTGGTTGTACACAATGTGGAGTTTCACTGGTTGTGTATTCATGTATGAACATAGGAAAGTTATGTCCAGTTCATTCTACTGTCATTCCTATTCCCATGCCCCCTCCCTCCCTTTCATTCCCCTTTGTCTAATCCAATGAACTTCTGTACTCCTCCTTCTCCTTATTGTGTGTTAACATCCAGATATCAGAGAGAACACTCGGCCTTTGGTTTTTTGGGATTGGTTTATTTCACTTAGCATGATAGTCTACAGCTCCATCCATTTATCTGAAAAAGTCATAAAATCATTTTTTTATTGATGAGTAATATTCTATTGTGTATATATACCCCAGTTTCTTTATTCATTCATCTGTTGAAAGGTACCTAGGTGGGTTCCATAGCTTAGCTATTGTGAGTTGAGCTGCTATAAATATTGATGTGGCTGTGTCACTGTAGTATGGTGATTTTAAGTCCTTCAGGTATAGAAGGAGGAGTGGGATAGCTGCGTCAAATGGTGGTTCCATTCCAATTTCTTCCTTTCTCTTTTTTTTTTTTGTTTTATTTTTAACACAAATGGAGCACATTTGTGTTAAGTGTGCTTCTCATTCCTCTGTCTGCACATAGTGCAGAGACACACCAGTTGTGCAACCATATATTTTTATAGGGTAATTATGTCTGTCTCATTCCCCATCCTTCCCACCCCCATACCTCTTCTCCTATTCTCACTTCCCTCTACCCAATCCATTCTTCTCTATACGCTGACTCTGGCCATTATGGATCAACATCTGTTTATCAGAGAAAACATTCAGCCTTTGGTTTTCTGGGGATTGGCTTACTTTGGTTAACATGATAGTCTCCAGCTCCATCCATTTACCTGCAAATGCCATAATTTCACTCTTCTTTAAGGCTGAGCAATATTATATTTTGTGTGTGTGTGTGTGTGTGTGTGTGTGTATATATATATATATATATATATAAAGTTTTCTGAAAATAGTAAACAGAAATTTCCAGAAAACAAATTCAAAGGTTTAAATTGATGAGTAGCCTGGTAGAATCTCACACTGCCCCACCCAGGATGCAAATAATTCATTTGCCCATTACCTCCATGCTGTATATGCTACCTGGCCATTAGCCACTTAGCAGTAATCTCAGTTATCAAAGTAAGTGTCTAGATATCACAAAAAGAAAAATAAATACAGTATAACATGTTACTTTGAACAAGAGAGAGAAAGAAAACATATATATTACTATAATTGTTCCATTTTACTATTTATTAATGTTTTTAATCTCTTACTCTGGCTAATTTAAAAATTAAACTTCATTGTAGGTATGCATGTAAGGAAAAAAATAGAGTGCAGTAATATCCATGGTTTCAGGCATTTGCTGGAAATCTTGGAACACATTCCTCATGGATATATGGGACTACCATAAGTTAGTTGCTAATAAGGAATCATATCCAAAACAAAGACTATATGTGCAAGTAAACAGAAGGTAAAGGAGTAAGTATGGTAAAATTCTAAAAACTCAAGCCACCATCAGAAGTTTTTTGTATTTCTATGATGTCCTTTGTGTAATTTTAAAATGATTTCAGGATTGTTTAAAATACAACTAAAATCATACATGTATCAATTGACATACAAATCAAGAACTATATCATTTCATAAATGACAGACTCAATATTATCACTATACTGAGTTGGTAAATCATATGAAGTTAGTTAAGCGATGGAGCTCAAACATTTATGGCCAACCACTTGTTCAAAATCTTCAGTGGCTCCTCATTACCCACACAATAATGAAATTATATGGAGATAATGTTTGTAAAGCATCTTACATAGTGGGAATTAAAAAACAATTAGTGTCCTTTTAAAATTTGAATTCAGATATTTAAAGGCTTTCATAATGTGACCACAATATTTATTTTCCTTCCTTTTAAGTTTATTTGAGCATTCAACATTCATTTATTGAATCTATTCTCTGCCCCATCCACATTAGTAGAGTTATTACATAACGGCAATATATTACTCCCTTTTGGTGCTTACATAAAACCATTATCCAGTCAAATTTGACATTCACCATTCTGAAACAAGCCTTTGTGAAACAGAACACTTATTCATTCATTCATTTCCTTACTCTGTATATACTCATCAACTTCATCCCTAGCTATCAGAACTGTACTTAAATTATTAAGGCATAGGTCAAATTTCTCTCTTTGCAAGAAACTTGTTATAATCTGAAGACAAACTGATAACTACTCATTTATTCTTCTCAAATGGTTCTTTTCTCATAAAACCTTTTCCTTGCATTTATTTAGACACAGGATTTGACAGCAAAAAGGAGATCAGGTTTGTCAGATTACGGTGTCATCAGTATAAGCAAGCTAATAAAAGACCTAGATGTAATGGGAGTGATGAGAATTGGGGCGGAGAGGAGAATGCATGTCTAAAGACTCAACTTCACCTTTTTCAAACATTTGGAAAAAAATTAACTTACTAGTCATCTCCAGTATAGACTACCTGAAGTCCCATAACTCTCCCCTAATTTACAGATGAAGAAAAAAAAATTCAAATAGAAAGTGGCTTAGCCAGAGTGTCTTCAAAATTTGGAGGCAGAAGCTGAAACAAGCTGGCGATTGCAGACACACAGTTTTCAATTTCAGTTTCCAAGAGATTACACCTAGAACTTAAAAACTGGTAGCCAGACCACATTAAATGACAACAACATCCCTTCTACAACAGGTTATTTGGAGACGAGAGCCCTACCACTCCCAAATTATAGGATGGATTATGTTAATCATGTCCATGAGGAAGTGAAGCAATAACCCAAACAGCTTTGATTCCAATCATACTTGGAGAACAAGTCTAAAAAAACTTCTTCACTCGGGCCCACAATATGACACCCAGCACACACCCTTCTTTTCTCTCCGTCCCCACCAAACCTGCATCTTTGGTCCACCTGACCACTTCCATTACCAGAATGATCCCCACCCGTTGGGCTCACCTTGAGTGAAGAGCAGCATGCAGAAGAAAAACAGGAAGCAGCGAATGCTGTTAAAACGCTCACAGCAGGGGACAACGATACAACCAATGCCACAGGGCCCTTCCTTGACATGATCCGAGTCTGGTGATTTTGGGGGAGGAGATTTCGCCGTTTTCTTCCGAGGAGCTCTGTGAAACTTCATAAAGGCCTTTGGCAACATTGTCAGGTATGGGGAAATATTCTTGCGATTTCCTAAAGTCTCAACTTCCTCGTCCTTAGAAGTCCTTCTGCTGGATACAGTCACCTCCGTCTCCACATTCTCTATGGCTTCCTTCATGGTCTCTAGGTGCCCTGCTGGGACCTGGGGCAAGGCTTACCTGGTTGTGTCTCCTTACAAAGCGGCCTGGAATCTCCAGACCCCCGCCTTGTCAGCACCAAACCCCAAACCCCAAACCCCAAACCCACCCCACCTGGGTGGGAGAAGGCCTGAGGCGCCTGCGCATAAGGCTCAGACCAGAACGTTCCTCCTCCTTGGGCTGGAGGCAAACGTCCGCAGAGGAGTTGACGGTTGCCCTGGGAGACTTCCAAGGCTGTTTTCCTTCTTTGCTCCCACTGGAGGAAGGAAAACAAAAATAAAAATAAAGCTAGAACTAGATTCTGAAAGCTACTAACACAGGGAGTATAAAGAAGTCAAAAGATTCCAGTTCTTAATACTCATTTGGAAGCAGATGAAACAGTGAGTATGTCCCCAATTTCCCCCGATTTACTTGCTTGTAGTGTCTTTCCAATAGGACCATCTTGAAACAAACTGAAATCTGCTGAAGGATCAGAAAGGAAAAAAAAAAATCAGTAGATCTGGGAGAAGGTACTTCTACCACAATAAAAGTCTTGGAAGAACAACAGAGATCAACAATGTACCAACACTGTCCTTAAATGAAAGGTTTCACACATAGAAATTATTGTCCTAGCACTCTATCCTCCACAAAACGCCAGAAAAGATTATTAGCTATCTTCCTAAATGAAGGACTGGGACCCAGAGCATGATTTACTTTCCCTGGTGTAAAAAATCTTATTGAGTTTATTAGCAGGTTATTAAACTGTGTTTTGTTTTTTGTTTTTCATATGAAAACATAACTTCTTAATGGCTTCATTTTCTTGGGCTGAAATAAAATCTGTTTAAGCCATATGTGTGGAGAAGGTGACTTTCCAGGAGAGATAGAACTGTATTCTCCTATGAGTTACACATGTTGCCAAAAGCAATCTAACTCTCCAACAAATTTTTGGCAACTCACAAAGTGCTAGCCTGGCAGATCTGGAGAAAAATCACTAAGCACCAACTCAATCTGTTAGAAAATAAAAGTATAATTCTGCCTTTCTTGGGAACAAAAAAAATTTATTAATGGCAGAAATGGCAACACCTCTGGGTAAACATATTGGCAGAGTTAATTAAAATATTGTAGCCCTCGATGAGACATAAATGAGACACAAAGCAATGAGTTTAAAATGAAACATAAAGCAACATATTGATGAGGCTTTCAACTGAGCCTTTTATTTGGGTGACTGAGTTTTCCATTTTGAATATTTGTTTGATTCTTCTTCTGAATTTCTATTGAATTGTTCTTTCATGATGTGCATTGTTTTCCTAAATTTATTCAGTTTATTTGCATCCTCTTGGAATTCATTGAACTTTTAAAAAAATCATTAATTTGGATTCTTGTGCAGCATTTTGTACAATTTGCTACCCTTGGAATCAGAGGACATTCTGAAAGGAAATAATCCAGACACAGAAAGAGAAACATAGCATGTTCTCACTCACATGTGGAAGGTAAAAAATTATCTCAAAGATGAAAGAATAGCTATTAGTAGAGACTAGGAAAAGTAGGAGGTTAAATACTGAGGAACAAAATAAAGTTAAGTAGATGGAATAAGTTCTAGTATTTTGCAGCACTGTAAAGTGATTATACTTTACAATACCCTATTGCAAATTATGAAAAACTAGAAGAAGTTTGAATTTGCCAAACACAAAGAAATGATAAACATATAAGGAGTTATAAACAGTAATCACCCTGATTTGATAATTACATGTTGTATGCATGTACCAAATCATTATGCTCTGTAACATAAATATGGAGAATCAGTATGTGTCCATTAGAAAATATGAAAAATTTAAATGAGAAATTTTGAATTCTGCATTGATGTAAACCAGTGGTTCTTGACCAGGTGCAATTTTTCTCTCCAGGCATCTTTTGCCTATCTCTAGAGACACTTGGTTTTTAGAACTCAGGGCAAAGGGCTAGAATGTATCAAAACATCCAGAAATGCACAGAGCCAAATTTGAAAGTTATTGTCTAATTTCAAAGTTCATTCTTATCCTACTATGCAATGTTGAAAATAAAATTTGTTTCTAAATTCAACTATTCCATAATATTTTCTCACCTTCACTGTCATTGAGTCTTAATAAGAAAGGAATGCAAACAAACACTAAAATGCCTTTTCCACTAACCTGTCTTTAGGACACTGGGAAGTCCCATAATTGTATAACACTTAAAAAGAGGTAAGAATATTACTCTTAATTGGAGTTGGTTCTTTTTTTCCCCTTCTTTTCTTTTTTCTTTTTTTTATTAGCTACACAAGACATTACAATGATCTTGGCAATTCATACATATGAATCAATTGGGGTATAATTTCTCATTTTTCTGATTGTACAGATTGCAGAATCACACTGGTCATAGACTCACCTATATATATACAGAATTTTAATGTCTATTCTATTCTGCTGTCCTTCCTATCCCCCTGGAGTTGATTCTTGAAGCATGATGTTGAAACAAAAATAAGGCCATCCCCAGAGAGGGCTTCATATTTAGAAGCAGATTACACTGTAGCCTACTAGTATTAGAGGATTTGTAACTGATGTATCAATACATTAAAGACTCGAAAATACATTTTTAGGGACTTTGGGAGCTGACAGTAATTCTAAAGCTAGAGAAGAGAATGTAAGACTCATTGTTTTTTGTATATTCCTTGACTGATTTGCACCAATATCCATTTAGTTAGAAGTATAGTAGTCATCATTTGGTTTCTTCCTAACCTTCTAAGATTTTTTCAGATCTGGAAATAGAAAAGGATTTCCAATATTGGAATCAGAGAGGCAATCACTTATTTTACACTGAGACTCTGCATGATCTTTTATTTGAATAAATGATTTCATAGGTTAAAAACTTTGGAAACTACAATTTTCAGGGTAAACCCTTCAGGATTCTTCATCTTTGAATAATACATTTTAATAAACTTTAATATTTCCTCCTTCATCTTTGTGACCCAGTTAGATATTATATTTATTGTGACTCCTGAACTCCCGAAATACTTCATGTTACCATTTTGCTTTGACCACACATCTCTATGGAAGCAATCAACTATGCAAGTGGGGGGAGTGGGGGGGAGAGAGAGAGAGAGAGAGACAGACAGAGAGATGTCTGAGAAACTCTGTGGAAACTACTACTACTAAAGAAATATTTAAAGGGGTATATTTAATATTTGAACATATTTTTGTGGTGAAGATAAAAACAGAAGTATTATGTTAGGATTGGTGTATGCTGGAAAAGTTGTGCCAAGAACAAACAAAATCATATAAAAAGAAGATATTAGTAATCATTACTTCCCCCAGAAATAGTTGACTTCCAAGTCATGATTCTAGAAATATCCTTCTGCCCTTTAATATCTGCAGATATCTAAATTCTGAACTGCATTGCTTAACCAGGTAGCACTTGTACTTAATTGAGCATACTGACAGAGATGATCTCCCTCCCTCAATATCTGCTTTGTTTCTTCTTGACCTTTTACTTGCTCCAAAGTTACTTGAGAAATCCATTACACAAGGAAACAATTGAATGAACATGTTGCTGTATTTTTAATATTTGATAATGTTTAAAATATTTTTGTAAAAAACTGGTATGCTCTCTTAAGAAAGTTTAGAAATTCCTTCTGGAAGCAACAAGTGGCAGTCATAACATAATACATCCTTTTCCAGGTAAGAAGAAACCTAAGTTAGAAGGTCACAGAATTGCATTTGTAATGTTGTTTAACAACATAACTGCATCCTGTTGGAAGGATGAGGTCTTAGGGAAATTTGACTTTTTTGAGAAAGATATGCCACAAAAAGGAGCGAGGGGGATATCAAAAAGAAATAATAAATGACCCCTTACCAAGTTCTTTTCTATTTTAGGTAGAAAGAGACCTTTGGTATATTTATGTCTCTATGAAATCAAAGCTATGGAGCAGTGCTATTAAATAGAAATAAAATGTCAGGGAATAACATCAGCAAGACAGAAGAATATGAGGTTCAAGCCCTCATCCTGACACAGAAACACCAATCTGACAATTAACTATAAATAAAAATACCTTTGTGGAAGACCTAGAAGTCAACTAAGAGATTGAAGTACTCTTCATTGAGAAAAATATTGAGAATGGATACATTGGGTAAGAGAAGCAGCCTCACTTTACTCATGTCAAGCCTCTCAGAGGCATTTGGCAAATCATGATGCTGAGAGAAATCTCCTGAATCCAACATCTCCCACAGGGTAAAATAATAGCAAGTGAGTACCTGGCTTCCCCAACCTTACCAGACACTACCCAGGAGACCTCATTCTGTCTTGCATCATGCAGAACACTGAGGGGATTAGCATGACTAAATCACCTGGGGACAACTAGGATTATGGAGAAGTGGGAGGAACCCACAGCAAAAACAATCAGACATAGGTCCTGGAAATCAGCTCATGAACTCCAACAGTAGACCACTTGTGAACTCCATAGCATGACTCACCTATGCACTCAATCAACCAGCTGACATGCACTCCCAGAATTCCACACCATAACAGTTGGTGCCCCAAATGTCCCCATGCATAGAACATTGATGATCCATGCCGGCATCCACAAATAGTACATAGATTTCAACTGTAGGAGCAGATCTTTGCACCAGCTCAACTCTGCTAGAATAGACAAAGGTACAGAATCTTGAGTACTTCAGTGAACTACTTGAAGGAAAATAAACAGGAAGGTCTCAGCACCAGTCTTGGCATTTAGGGAGCAAGAGGAGGTACACTGACCTCTAGCCAAATTCAGTGACAATTTTTTTTTCTTTTCTCTCCTGAAACCAGTTAGTAAAGAATAGAGGTAATTGGCTGGGATTGTAGCTCAGTGGTAGAGTGCAAGCCTAGTATGTGTAAGGCACTAGGTTTGATTCTCAGCACCACATATAAATAAGTAAATAAATAAAGTTCTATCAACAACTAAAAAAAATATAATTAAAAAAGAATAGAGGTGGTGATTGTTTCTACAAATAAGAAGACAGGAAAATGGGACTCCAATAATCAAAGAAACATGACACCATAAAAATAATAAAACAAAGTACCAGCATCTGACCCCTGGCAAAATGGAGATCTAAGAATTGTCTGACAAATAATTATAAAAAATCATCTTAAAGGAGTTCAGAGAATCCCAGATAAATAGACAACTAAATGGAATTAGGAAAGCAAATATAACAAAATTAAAGTTAAATAAAGATGTAGAGACTATGAAATATAACTAGATACTAGAGCTGAAGAATGCAATGTCTAAATTGAAAAAACTGAATAGCTTCAGCAGCAGAACTGATCAAATAGAAGAAAGAATAAGTAAACTCAAAGACAGAATACTGTAAATTATCCAAGCAGAGAAACAAACGAAAATAATCAAAAAGAGTAAAGAAAAACTATGAATTTATGGGATGCTTTCACACACGCTAACATATGTATGAGTTTGGGATAACCATATCCCTAGGAAA